ACTTGCTTAAATTATAAATCACTTTTCTGTTTCTGAAGTTTCAAGCGTAGATCTTTTCTATACAATGGACTACTCTTCGACTATAGGGAATACTACTTGACTTAACGGAAGATGAGTTTGCTGCTACATGGATGGACCTTAGGACAATCATGCTGAATTAACTCAGAAAAAGAGGAGCAGATTCAGAATTATCTCCCTCATATGTGGGCTATAAAGAAACATAGTAGGGAAGTAACAAATGCTCAAAGGCATCAGGCATCTGGTCTGTAGAACTGAGCTTAATATGGTAAGCTGGAGCGATAGCACAGCGGGTAGGGCGTTTGCCTTGCACGCAGCCAACATGGCCGACCCGAGTTCGATTCCTCCGCCCCTCTCGGAGAGCCCGGCAAGCTACCGAGAGGATCTTGCCCACACGGCAAAGCCTGGCAAGCTCCCCGTGACGTATTCGATATGCCAGACACAGTAACAACAAAGTCTCCAATGGAGACGTTACTGGGCCCGCTCGAGCAAATCGACGATCAACGGGAGGGCCTTTACTTTACTTTACTTACTATTGTCGTGGTGGGTTGAAGCGGGAGCACTCTGGTGGAGATGTGTTTTGGGACCATTGTATGTGTGACAGCATAGTACTAAATGCATTATAAACCAAAGTGCTTAAAATATTTTTTTAAAAGCTGAACATGTATGTGTGCGTGAGTGCACACATATATGCACACACACACCCATTCCCACTTCCTCCCTTTTTTATTCCTTGGAGAATTATTTTCATAAAATAATTCCATAAAGTAATTTTTTTCTTTTAACGAATCTTTTTTGAATATATTAGACTGACCACTAAGTCACAGACTTGGCAAGTTTTCCTTCCCACTTGGATAAACTTTTGTTCGTAGCACCGTGACATGCAGAATATGACGGAGTTTCTTTGTGGCTACTGGGAGATGGTTTATGGAGTTAGGGCTCATTTCTGTTTGTTCACTACAATATCCCCAGTCTTGAAATGTGGACCTGGAGATACTTGAAGCAGTAGGCAGAGAAAGAGCAGCAACCACTGGCCAGCTAGAGACGGGATTCAATATTCCTTTCATTCCTGGCAATGATCACGCACACATACGCTAAGCCAGACTTTCTTTTTATAAACATGATGCAGAAAAGTGAGAGAAATATGGAGGGAGGGGAGCAAGCACTGTACTAAGGGCAGTTCTTATTCGTTTTCTATTCCCTTTAAAAAAATTTTAAAGTCCCTTTTGGAAGTAACTCATTCATGGATGGAATATATCAATGGTCACTGCAGTCAAAATCAAATTTTAAAAAAAAGTGGTGCTACATTAATCATAACTCACATATAAATCAAACCCAAATATTCATCGTAACTCCCCCTAACTCTCAACTACAGAATAATTCTCCCTTCATGCAGCCTTTCCTCAGTTAGCACCCTCCTCCTGCCTCTCCCCTCTTTTCATCCTCTTGGTGAATTCCTTTGGCCCTGAAGTCTCTGGAGAGATTCCCTATTCCTCAAAGGGCAAGGAAAGAATCAACCAATTTTTGCATTCCCCCATAATATTGGTAAATGTAGATATGTCTACGATAGAAACCCAAACTTTTTGACAATGCCTGCATATTCATTCTGGAGAGAATATGGGTTTCTAACTGTCCTGTGAACTATGGACCCTGAAGGGTTGTATGTAAAGTTACTTATATGTAGCACAACTCCAGCAACTGATTCATGCTTAATCCTTTTCCCTTTTTCGAAACAGAAGTCTTCTCAGGGGCACCTATTTAGAATAGACTGGAACTGGCAGGAGCCTCCTAGTCCCGGCATGTCTGAGTGGATATCTTCTCCTCAAGAAGCACAGGCTAGACCACTGAGAACAGAGTCGGGGACAGGGCTGCAGCCATAACTTTGAGTCCCATGGCTGTGTGAAGAAAAGTAAAAAAGGACTGAGTCCTCAGATGTTCGTGACCTGGAGTTGAACTGGGGGACCAGATGTCAGGTTTGCTTGTCAAAGAACAAGAGTTGGGGTTCAACCCATGACATTGCAGGTCAATCCACCATATGCCATTTCCCCTGCATCTACCTTCTCAGATCCACATTAACTTCCAACAGTTACCCAAGAACCTAAAGAACTTGGTTATTCTAAGTGTGTCTCAAACACAACCCCAAATTGCTCTTCATATATTAATAACGCAATCTCTTTAGGCATGAAGTTTCAATACACTAGTTTATAAAGTCAATCTACATGTTTTGTTTCTGTATAACAGATATGAAAGAAAAGTTAAATAATGAGCCACACCATCTTTCATGTCTAAAGACAATCAAATGCCCACTTTGTTTTCTGGACCTCATATGCATGCTATCTTCTTGAAGGAATTGCCTTTTTGGGTTTCTGTTTATTAAACGGAACACTCATCAATTTATCTTCCTTCTCCTGGACAAATTTTCCCATTCTCTATGCTCTCTAAAATTATCATTATAGAAAATTAAACTCTTCTGTGGGTTTTGGGCTATACCCAGAGGGTTTGGAGCTATATTCAGAGTGGTCACTCCTGGTATTGCTCTGGGGCACATGTGATGTCAGATTGGATTCAGGTTATTTCCAAGGCCTTACAGAAAGGGTATAAATCCTGGGCTAAATCGAGGTCTTGGCAGGGGACCAATCTTTTCCATTCTTTTTTGGATCCCTTCAAACTTTCGATAGTTAGGTCAGCTACTACCAGTACATCTGTTTCTTTGCCGACAAAATTTACTTTCAAAATTTCAACATTTAAATCCTGCTACTCGGATACTTTTAATGAGCCCCAAGTTTGAGGAAATGAAAATGATTCAGCATAAAAAGGACAATCTTAGAACTATCACCTAGCAATCATCGTTCCTATAATTAACTTCAAGACCATAAAAGGAAGCGTTGATGTTATTGAATTTTACCCAATAATGACCCCAAAGCAAAGGGTCTGTATAAGCTGAGGTACAGAGGTCAAGTCCCAACATGAGGACAGACACAGAGAGCCCATGAATGTCTTGGTCTCATGGAAGTACTCACAGGAGTCTGCATTTAGAAGCTTCTTGCTCTAGTAAGTTTTCCCCCTTTGGACTGGGCCTGGGGAGGTTCAGAGATGAGGAACCCCATCTGCCAGGATTATGGGGATGAATGAATATCAGGATATGCCACATACATCATTTGGCAAAGTGTACTCTTTTTTTTGTCTGTCACAGACTCGGTCCGACTTTGATTGACACAATCACACTTCCACATGTCCCCCACATCATCCACATGGGTTACCCCATACTCCTTTGCTCGCGGGGCTGTTTCTGGATAAGGTCCAAAGCTGACTCCTCCTTAACCCACACACTTTCCTCGTCCTTACCTTAGTCGGATCTAACGGTCATGCCAACCCAGTCTTTTTACTTGATCTGACTTGATAGCACACATCTCAGGAACTGAGAACTAATACTGGGGGCTTGGAGCAGTAAAAGGAAAAGTGTTAGCACCCCCCCCCCCATAACAATTTTACATGCTTGCTGATAATCCCGATAAAGATAAAACAACACTCTTGGTGAACCACGCAGGAATTCAGCTTCCGGGTAGCCCTCTCCACCTGTATCAACCCCCTCATGCTTCTAATTCACTTGGACACAGGAGAGAGAGCAGTGGGAGTTACAGGAAAAAGTAGCCGGGATGGGGGTCCCTACCATCACGGTAATGGAAGAGAAATGACAGCCAAGTTAGGCTCCACGGGAAGGGAACAGTCACAGCTTTCTCACTCAGGAGTCACTTTGACATAACAAGAAACTACTGAGAAAGACTGGCTTTATCTAGGTCAGAATGACACACTCCCAAGCGTGAGAACCGGGGGAATGACAGTTGGAGATACCAGCAAACGGTGGCGAAGAGCAGCTCTTTTCTCGGGCCGACGCTGCCTAATCGTTTTCATGCCAGACACGGCAAGGCCGCCACTGGCTGATTCATCGCGGCACCTCATTCTGATTTCAGAGCCTCCCCAAATGAAACACTCTGCGTTCTGGGATGCCGACATTTATAATAAGATGCAGATGCGAAAGGAAACAGATGCCTCTGACATCACCCCCCAAGTGCCCTCCACTCTGCAGGGCTTGGCAGACTGTAAACTCATTCAAAGGGATGGAGAGAAGTCAGGCAGTTTTCCAATTCTGTTTCGAGAATTAAAGTAAAGAGAGATAAATAACTCAAACTACTGGTTGCAAGGAAGTAGCTTTTCCTTCCTTCCTTCCTTTTCTTTCTTTCCTCCTTTTTCACCATGGTGTTTATGACACACACACACACACACACACACACACACACACACGATATTTGATGCTAAGTCTGGGTCAAGATTTAATACAAAATTCATCAAGAAAAAAAAATATCCTCACAAGTATCAGGCATTTAATAGAGCAAGAACTGATTGTTTTTCACGACAGTGGCGGGACCAGGTGGGAGGGCACAGAGGGACTGGGGACAGCTGTAACATCGAGGATGAAAAGGAGAGAAGACAGACAGAAAAGGAGCAGCAGGTATGCTCTGCCAGCCCTCGCTACGCACACTGTATCCAGACTTTGTTCTTATTACCTCGAAGTAAAATGCTTTCAGGAACCTTGTAGGGCACTGTTTGACTTAAAGAAGAAGAAGAAGGAAAAAAAACCATACACTAATGCATTGAGTAAATTCTGTAATTCCAGCTGCACTTTGCAGAAGAAATCCTATTCTGAAAGGAGCTGGCACCATTTCTTGGTGATATCGCTGACCATATGACACATTAAAAAGAATTCTGTGTGTGTGCGTGTGTGTGTGTGTTTGTGTGTGTGTGTGTGTAAGAAAAACGTGTGAGAAGGCTTTTGACAAAAGATGAGGGACTTGTACAGTCCATCCTGAAAGCAAAGGGGGCTTGGGCCAAACAGCAACCCCAAGACCTGGATTAGTATTTTAGGTTCAGCATTAACACAGGAAGCAGAGTGAAACGAAAACCTTCCCAGTCCTCCCATCCCTCCAGCCCCCCACACACCTCCCAGCCTTCATGGTTCAACTTCATCTGCAATTGCTGCAAGAGAAACACTGGAACAGAAACATTTTAGCAGACACAAAGGCAAGGGATGTCCAGACGTTTAAAAAAAAATCATTCCTGTTGGGCCAAGTAGCGTAATTTTACTTTAAAATAATCTCTCTGTACATGTGTCATACACACACACACACACACACACACACACACATACACTCACACACACAATACAAGATTAAACCACCTCTTCTAATTCACATCCACAACTGGGTTGGAAATTATTAGTGCAAATTCCCGCTGACCTGCAGCAAATTAGTCCATAAGTTTTGGGTAGCCTAGGCGCTCCATGAGAGTCCCACAGATGTTTTCGATCAGTTTCATTTCATCTCTAGGCAAATTCTGCTTCCAAACATTAGTATTTGTTGGTGAGATTTCCCCTTCGTACGGGAGATAGAAAAGGTTCGTGGAGGTGGCAAACAATATTTGGTTTAAACTAGCAGGAGACAAAGGGATGCCAAGAAAGGCAAAAATCTTTTCTGTGGTTTTCTGAGGAAAATGCACAATATCTTCAAACTTGATCAGCTGGTAGCTGGTGGGGAGCAAATCTGTATTAATTCTCAGGGCAGCTGCTGTATTTGCCAGCCAGAGATGAGCCAACAGGGAGACGGCATTTGATTTAGGTTTGGATAATTCTTTCCTCAGTGCATCGTACTCAAACGCATAGCCCGCATTCAGGTTGCATTTGCCCTTCCTGCCTTCTATTCTGAACAATTTTGCTAAGTGCTCTGGTACATTCTTCAAAGAGTACAGACTTGGCTTGCTACTGTACAGCATTGAATAAACCCATGCCCGAGGGTCCCTGACGACGTACAATGCCCTCATGGAAGCTCCTAAAACCTCCTGGAAGAAACGAAGCTTTAAGGTCCAGCTTCCGCTGCTTAAACTGAGCACAGGGCGGGCGCTTGGGTAAAAGACCAGGTGTCTCCTCAAAGCCCTGATGTATTCCGCATCTCTGTCAAAGGCGCCTTTCATCCGACTTCTTTGTTCTGGCAGAGACTCTCTCCTTTTCACTTTTCTTCTTCTGTCCTTGTTCGCTGGGGAATATTGGGCCAGTCTCCCTCGACTGGGCTCATGCAGATGGATGTTTTGCAAGTGGAGCTTGGTGTCGTGGACCAAGGACTGCAGCCACCCGCGCAGTAAGCGAAAATGCACGCTGCGGATCTCTGGCACCTTCCACTCGCAGGCATCCACGAAGGAGTCGATTTCCAGCTCCGTCTCAGGGAGATCCATGTAGGCTGTCGGGACCCTGATGTAGAGGAAGTCACTACTGTTGAAAAACAGCTGTTTGAGAATTTCAGCCCCCGAGCCTGGAAGTGAGGTGATGACCACATTGGGGAGCTCGCTTTGGTGTCCCCCCGGCTGGAGAGCCTTTGTGCGGGCCTCGTCCTCCGTGGTCCTTGCCCACTTGGCACAGATGGGCTGAGTGCAAGTGCTCCACACGTCCAGCAGCTCGATGAACCACAAGGCAACGACAAGGATTAATATCCAGCGCATCAGCTTTCTAAAAGAAAGGTAAAAGCGCCACTGAAAAGTCAAAATCACCAAACTGATGCACAAAATCAACCCAACTGCTATGTTAAATTTAAAACCAAAGGGGAAAATGACTCGGTCACGTCTTACGGGCTTCACGATTGCTTGAGTGCCCAAACCAAATCTGGTTATCTGACCCTGATCAGCCACGCTGGCAAAGCCTCCAAACCCCAGGTAATCGAACCTCGTCTTCAGGTTCTGATAGTCAGTGACAATGGAAACAACATGTTCAGTATCGTTGACATTGAGAGCAATCTGGAGCCCAGAAGTCGAGTGATCAAGGAACCTGCAGCCAGACACATTGACGTAGGGCCCGTAAAAGACATAGGCGATCCGCGTCATGCTAGAGTCCATGTGAAATGTGACGTTGACAAACTGTGTCCACCGCTTCTTAAACTCAGCCGCTTGCTCTGCTTCTTGTATACTCGCTACGGGGCTGTCTCCATGGTGATCAAACCAAAACATTTTGTAGTGTGCGTCCCACACGTCCATCATGGCCCCGTTATACCTGTTCATAAACTTATAGGGGATGTACTTAAAATCGATATCCAGATTATGAAAGAAGGCACTGACGGATTTCAGCGGGGAATCGTGTTGCTTCTCCACATGATCGACAACCAGCAAAGTTTGGGAGTTTAAGAGAAGCAATGCCCGATACACACTTTTCAGCTTCATGGCTGAAGAGTAGGCAGACACCGCCTCCCCGCTCACAAACACCATGTCCCCCTGTTCGGAGGCAGTGATGATGTCTCCAGCTGCATCACCAACCTCCTCGCCCGTCCACTTGAGCCACTGGGCACACTCTCCCAGCTGACCCTCCCAGGGTTTGTTACACTGGCTTGTGGGGGACGGGGCGAAGACCAGCACATTGTTCAGGTGGCTTAGCTTGGGGCCATAGAGAGCTTCAGAAACAAACACTTGCCCGTTGGGGGCAAAAGTAAACGAATTCTGATCTGGATGCTCGTGGCCCGGGTTGAAGCTTCTCCACCCATCAATCCAGGAGTACGGCTGGAAGTGAACAATGTCATACACGGCTCGCCCTCCAAGCTTCCCGGACTTAAAAGACACGAAGGTATTTGTCTGTGTGTTTGGCAATCCAGCGCCATAGGTGACCACGCCCCAGTTAGGGAACACGTGCATTTTTGCAGTGCCATAATCAGCAGGGGGCTGTGGGGTGAGTTGGGGATCGTACCAGATGTACTCGGTGTGAAGAGTGCTCCACCTCTGAGCAGTCGAAGGGACCATTGGTCCATCTTTAGGTCGGTGCTTTCTGATTTGCTGGGCTAACCAGTTACCAGCTCCGTTCTTCAAGATGAATCGATCCAAGAAAACTAACTGACTCTCCGGGCCATAAAACCAATTATAATTGGAATCTGCTATGCCCACGGTTCTTTGGAAGCCAGGCAAAAGGGTGGCATAATAGAACCAAAAATGCATTCTTAGCCAGTTATTGTCCAAGTTGTCGATATTAAAATGGCGCTGGGCCAGAAAAACATACTGCGTGACCGATTTAGCTGTGTAGCTTCCATAAGCCACACCTTCATCCAAAGAACCGTCCACAATGTGATTCAAAAGAAACATTGTCTTTTCCATCACATCCACCACCACCTGTTTCCATACATTGACTTCGGGTCCTTTATCGACCCCAATCACCAAGGCCCCAGTTAGTAACGCGATCATATTAGTGGCTTGGTGGTTATGGAGAAGCTGCTTGCCCCAAGAGCGGACCTTGGAATACTCATACATCTCCTCAGTGATAACCACAATCTTGTCCAGGTATCTTTGTCTTCGGTGATCATCTAACGAGTTATATAAAAAGTCAAAAGCCGTGGCAAAACCTGTTAAGGAGTGGCCGATGGGCACTTCATCTCCGGGTGCATTCTCGACCAGCCAGTCTTTGTAGCCGACCATCCTGTCCATATATTCCAAGACGAAATCAAAGGCGACTTTGTCTTCCGGGCACAGCAAACAGTACAGTGCTAACGGAGGCAGATTGTTACCATAAATTTCATTCCACTTGGCAGCAAAATCAGCGTGCTTGGGTGGAGGTAGGTAGTACGTGGGATTGGACAGCATCGCTGTCACTGCACTTCGGAGAGCTCTAAACAGATGCAAGTGGCTGGTGCGAGACTTATGTCGCAGGGCCTGGATTTCTCCAGCGTCGAAATACAGACTTGGATGAAGCATACTTTTCTTCAGCTTTTGGCTGGGTCTGAAATCTTGCACTTTCTGTGTCTTAAACTGATCCGCGTCCTCTGCGAAGACTGCCCAATCCGAAAAATTGCTCACGGATTCCTCAAAAGTGGAGAAAGCAAACATCACTAATGTTAAAAATAAGAAAGGTCCTGTAAACATCAGCGCCATGATCCATCAGAAAAACTCTTTCCTTAGGCGTACATGTCAAACACAGTGCTCCATGGACTTCCCATCTGCTGAGTACAAAACAGACACGTAAGGCCCCAGGATTACATAGAATTCAATGGGATATGCGGGGAAATCCGGCCGGCATTCAACACACGCTAAACGGGGGAGGTTGTCAGAAGGCGAAATCTCACATGCTTTATCTGTGCCGTGATACAGTTTGTTTCTAATTAAACTTCAGGGAATGTTAAAAGCTTGAATTTTCCACATCAGCAAAACAGTGATTCAGTCCAACACCCAATACATTAAGAATTTATTTTCTTTATGCAAACTTGTCTTAATGTGAAGACTCAAAACACTCCCTCCCTCTTTAAAAAAAAAAAAACTCCAAAAATCCAAATTAAAAAGTTAGAACAGAACCATCATGGGTGATAAAACACGGGGCATAAAAGATGCCTGCGTTTACCCGAGAAGCAGCTGAAGTATTGAGATTCTTGGAAAGGAAACACAGTCGGTATTCCTCTCAGTGTTTTTAGAGTTCTTGTTTTGAGAAATTTTCCTTCTTGCGCATTGGGCAGAAAAACATCCTCAACAGGTGTTTAAAGCACTACCTGGCTTAAAAACAAACAAAAAGTCAAAATGCCTCTCCTCATTTCCAATCAGTGTCTTTCAGGCTTACTTACGCAGCAGCCCATCAATACTTAGAGAAGGCATTCTCCAGTCTTCTTCCATCGGCTTCATCTGGACCATTATAAAAAAATCTAATCTCTTCCGTCATCTAGGGGCTTCTCTTGCAGTCACGAAGTAACCGCCAACCGGAAAAGCAAATTCCCTTCACCAACAGGAGCCTCGTCTGTTTTCTGTTCCTTTTGCATGACACTCCTTTCTGGGGGGGGGGTTAGGGTGGGGGAAACAAAAGAAAGAAATTTTCTGAAGCTAGAGGATTTGCCGGGAGCGGACAGAAAGAACGGGAAAAAAAAAATCAAAACCCACAAAACCCGATGATTTCAATGCTCCACAATCAACTTCCTGCGAGACCTTTCAGAAACCACAATCAGAGCAGTCTCGCCATCCAAACTAGCTCGAGTGCATCTCCCCAGCCACCGCCCACCCCATCCTGCTTTTGAATCGCGCCGATTCCCACTCGGATCCCCGGGAATTATGCAACCGCCGCCCAGCCGCGACAGGTAAGCGAAGCAGCGCGCACGGTGGTCCAGCTGCTGCAACCTTGGGGCTGGCTCCAGTCACTGTCTCAAGTTGCGCTCCCCGGAATGCAGTGAACTCCAAGCTGATGAGTCGGGCTACCCCTCTGCTAAAAATCTCAGTGACTCCTCCGGTAACAGTCTTTAAAACCCAGCCAAGGTTGCAAAGGGTGCCTCGGCAGCTGTCGGATTCCCAAGGAGCCTTTGCTTTGCTGGACGGGCAGCAGCTCCCCAGCGACCAACCCGCTGGGGTGGGCTGGGGTGCCCGGGGCGGGGAGGGAGGGAGGGAGCCGGGGCCGCCGCGCATCACCTGTCGGGGCCGGCGGGCCCCGCGGAGCCGGCAGAGGGAGCTCGGAGCCGCGCGCGCTCGGGGCGCAGCTGGCGCTGCCGGCGGCCGAGGCAGCTCCCGAGCAAGTTTCAGTCTCGGACAAGTCGGTTCCCGCCGGGAAAAGCTCCGACGCGGAGTTGGCCGCGCCGCCCCGCCTGTTGCTCGCTGCAGATGCGTCGCTGCCGCCCCGCCGCCCGCCGCTCCGCCCGGCCCTGCCCGTGCGCGGGGGTCCGGGAAGAGGGAGAAGGAGAAAGAGAGGGGAGAGGGAGGGAGGGTCCCCTCCACCCGGAGGGCCGGTGCGCTTACCTGCTGCAGGGGGCCCGGGGGAGATGACCCGGGCACAGGCGGAGTTGCAGCAAACTGCGCCGCACCGGGCACCACCGGGGGTGCTCCCCGCGCTCCAACAGGCGGCGGCCCCGCGCGGACACGCCCGCCCTCGGGGATCGCGGGCGCCCCGCGGGACAGCCGAGGCTGCTGGGCGCGCCGCGGACCCTCTCCGAGGGGACGCAGCGTTCTGGCTGCGTGACCGGCCGCGATGCCGCCGCGGCCGCCGCTCCTCGGTGCCAGCTCCGGCCGCACGGCCCGGGGAGGGCGAGAGACAGCGACGCGGGCCGGGGGCGGGGCGAGCCCGCCGGGGGGCGGGGACTGGGCGGGGCTTCGGGGCTGGCGGCCCGACCGGATTGGGAGGGAGGCGGGAACCGGCGGGCCGGGCGGCCGAGGGGGCGGGGCCTCCGCCAAGGGGCGTGGTCGAGAGGGTGGAGGCGGGAGAGCGCGGGGCGTGGCCGGGAGGGGCGGGGCATAGTGGTGGGCGGGGCCTCGGGCATCCGCGGCTCGGCGGTCCCGGATGATTGGTGCACCGGGTGCACAAGTAGCCCCGAGCTCCTGCGGGAACAGATTTGCAAGTTTCTCCAAACGTCGCTGGGCTGGGCGAGGGCTGCTCGTCATTCCCGCCGGTTAGGAGGACAGGACTGTCACAGAGCTCACGGGGCGGGGAGAAGGATGGACCCCGTTCTGGACCTGGGGACAAACCACTGGACGACTGCCAAGTCCTGGGAGAGAGTTGTTGTCCTTTTGAAAAGCAAAATCCATATGCCCGATTTATATAAAAGTGACTTCAGGAGCACGGATGCTAAAGATCAGGGGGAGCAAGAGGAACGAATGAGATTTCTTGATTGAAATCCTTGCTCCTGCAGTATAAAGACGGTGAAGTCTGGAAAGTGCCAGTCAATCTAGACCCGCGGGCAAAAGTCCTTCTGCCTGTTGCTTGACTGAGCGTGTGCACGCCCAGGGTTTGAAATTCTACCGTGAATCCTCCCGTAATGCATGCACCTTGAACCCTTCTGTAATGCATGCACCTAAGTTCTTATGGCCACGGACATTCTTATAGCACACCTGGGTAGCACACCTGGGTAGTTGAGATCTGACTTCAGCCAGGGGGGGACAATACTTCTGAAGGTTCAGCATACAATGATCTATCAAGCTTGACAAATGTCCAAGCCCATCTGCCACCGCCGACTGGTGGGTCTTTCAGTTTCCTCGTACTTCAGCCCATTTTGGTAGGATGGAGAGCAGAGCCATTAAATCATGAGTGTGTTTCGGAGGTCACTTTCCGGGAACATCAAACTGCAGACCGTTGCTAGTATAATAAATCACAAAATACTTTGCCTTGGACATGAAGTGTGACCCCTACCTTTGTCTTCTGTGGTTCTCTTGAGAGTCCAACACGGGTTGAAAAGATCAAATTTTAATGTTCCTTTGCCTCTTCCATAACTCCCATCCCCATTTCTGCCCACACAGTGGCCTTAGCCCGAACCCCCCTGCTTACAAGTTGAAATTGTTCTGACTTTGGAAGCATCTCAGCTCCGATGCTTAAATTCCTCCACATGCCCACAAGGCTGCCTGTACCAGAGTGAATGATTCTAGCATTCTAGCAGGAGTGTGAAGCTCAGTCTTTAGATCATCTGCCAGGATCCTCAGCCTGTCACCCTTTGCGAGAACTTCCTCTGAGTTTAGAATTAGGCGATCCCTGAAGTTCACACACAGAAGGATGTCTCCTCTGGCAAGGTTTATTCTGAAACCAGGGTCTTCCTTGGAAGTCTGGAGACAGAAATCCCTGGAAAATCCCCCTCTGTGATCTGCCACAGAACGGGTGACAGATTTCTCTGCCTCCTTTATGAGAGAGAATAAAATTGTGAGAATGAGGAGACAAATGACAGAGATTTCTATCTTCTGCGCAGAAGAGCTTCAGAAACTGCTTTAAGAATTAGTGTCAGCATACATGGTGTGAAGAAATGCAGTCATGTCATGTCCAAAGAAAAGCTATGGAAGGGATTTCATCTGCATGTATCCCAGGGGGAAAAGTCCTGGAGAACTGTAATGAGCACTAAAATCTGCCAGGCGAGCATTTTCCCTTCCACCCAATCACTTCTTTCACGTGGCGGATTCATTTCAATAAGATCGTTTTTCACTTTACAGATGCAGGACTTGACACTTTTCGGCCCTTCGGTTTTGCCTAGACTTCTGCAGTGATCTGTGGGAGGCCGGCAGCCTCGCGGCATTTTCAGATGAGCTCCCAGGCTGATTCCCTTTAAACAGGCATCTTCTCACAGTTGTGAGCACATTGGAGGAATTTGAGAGCTACAGCTGAACAATTCAAGTCATGGACAGAGAAGGTGGTAGGTAAATGATGCTGTGAAAAATGAAGGGAGTCATGTTTCCTGGGAACCGAAAATGGATGTCTCCAATTATTGTTCCTGCCACACATGTAGATGGTAGGAAGTTAATTATAAATAATGCATCCAACCATGGAAGGGAGGCGCTATATGTTATGTGATTGCACATTAAAAACCTTTACGAGTGTGGCAAGAGACACATATACCAACAGCTGCTAAATTCAGAATCCTGGAGCAGTATCTTATTTTAATATCATTGAAGAACTGCACTGTCTGTCGCTCTGGGGATTTCCTGCTACATAAAAGGATCTTAAATCTGCATGAGATTTTACTGGAGATTTCAAAACACTTATGAAAATCTGTTTCCCTTATTTGAGTATCTTTCAAATTTACCTCAGCCACCTCAGTCACCAGTCTCCATAGGGATGGTACTTTCTAGATCTTCAAGGTAAGAAGCTGGAGCGATAGCACAGCGGGCAAGGCATTTGCCTTGCACGCTGCTGACCTCGGTTCGATTCCCAGCATCCCATATGGTCCCCTGAGCACTGCCAGGGGTAATTCCTGAGTGCAGAGTCAGGAGTAACCCCTGTGCATAGCCAGGTGTGACCCCAAAAGCAAATAAATAAATAAATAAATAAAAATAAAAATAGATCTTCAAGGTAAGATCATTTCTCATACCTCCCTGCCCTCTCTCTCTCTCTCTCTCTCTCTCTCTCTCTCTCTCTCTCTCTCTCTCTCTTCTCTCTGCCTCTGTCTCTTTCTCTGTCTCCCTGAAAATTTCATCCAGGGCCTAGCCCTTTATGTAGAACATGAATGAATAATCACCTCCATATAATGGCAAAAGACTAGTTATCAATATCTAAAATGGGTGGTGGATGAATTTAGGACTGAATCAGAACTTTGCTTTGTTTCCAGTAGTCCTGAGAAACCAGTTACCACACAA